AAGTTTAAAATACATGTATGTAACTGTCTCAAACCCAAGCCCTCTACCTTACATTTGAGAACTTTTTTCCATATAATTTTCATATTTCTTCTCCACTGAGATGGAGGGCCATAAAAAATTGCTTATACTGTCTCTATCCTTCTCAGGTTAGAGACAGCATAGTACCACTGACTGTAGCATTAGTTTGTTGGCACCAGTTCTAACCCTTTCAAGGGCTGTTTACCTGAAGAAAATTAGGTTGGCTTGTAACAGAAACATATGCTACACCCACCTGTGGCAAACCTCACTAAGATCCTCCCAACAGATTGATCTTTCAGCGTGTGGTGAATATTCTATTGGCCCAAAGATGTGGAGCAGCGATTAACACCTCAAATGTGAAAAAGTATTCCTTGCCAGTATTTCTTCACATCCAAATCCTAAGGAACAGACATCCTCCTACATCAGCTGGCCAGGTTGTTGGAATTTATAAACTACAACTTGTTGACAGGAACCTCAAATCACTCAGCTGTTACATATAACAACTGAGTAGTTTACTTAATCCTCTCCTAACACCAATATAGATGCATGGTAACATGGAAAAGTATTAAAAAAACAAACAACAACAAAACACAAACAAACAAACCCCTTCCTCCACAAAGCACAGCAATAGCTTCAGGCAACACCTTTCCCAAGAGAGTATAAGTTACCATTTAATCCAGCATCACATCTCAGGCCGTCTTGAAAATCAATCAAGTGACTAATTTGGTCAGAGCTTCAGCTGGAGAACAGATGAGCAGCCTCACCATGATGAGGTATCAGACTCCTGCAAATTCATGTAGTCCCAGGTTCACTTCTGCTTCACATATTGCTTTAGTGTTCTCCACCATGCTTATAAATGAGGATTTGAATCCTGAAAATTTTAATCTTTTTTTGTTGAATAAGTCTTTTTTCCCCAAAAGGTACTAAGACTCTGTACATGGGCAAACTGTCACCTAATCAGGATTCTTACTCTGTGCAAGAATTTAACAACACTTTGAAAGTTTCATCTGAGCCAAAGTGAATTAAGAGTTTGTCAAAAGGGCCTTCGTCAGAGAAAGAATAAGGGCTACTAATTTTTTAAACTAAATATCAATTAAACTTCAGAACAGCACATTCAATAAAAGACATGGAAGATCTTTTGTCTCTTTAATTTCCAAGCGCTATAAATGATATTGCTCCAAATGGCATGAGTTACGCTACCCTCAGGAAATAAACCTATGACCTGCTGGAGTTGTGTGTGCAGAACAGTCCTCGGAAATGTGTATTCCCAAGATATGCAGTCCCATGTCAGTGTCTGGACAAGAGGAACACTCACCCCTTACACTTTGCCTCGGAAGACTGTCAGCTACTCGGACAAAGTCCCTGTAGCACTGTAAGGGTCTCTTGCACCTCTGCTTCAAGACGGGATTAACTCAACAGCCCCACTGAGCACAACGAAGCCCCTCCATGGCACGGACCGGAGCCTGTATTTTGTAACACTCCAGCACTTTTGAAACAGAATACGTACTCTCTCAGCTGGCATGGTGCTCTGAGCAAGGACAGTATGTCCTGGGAAGTTTCTGTGTACATTTTAGGCTTTGTGTTTCCTATGCTCTTTTTTTATGCATTACTTTCATTCTCTCTTTTCCCTATTCGGGTGGGTTTACCTGTCTTTTGCTCTTCACTCAATTCCTACGGACAATACAAGAAACGGTATCATACATCCCACATGCCAGCATGAGGTGAGACTAGGTAAAATGTTGCAGATCATTCCAGGATGACAATTCTATAAAACAATAAATGTAGCATGGCGTTAGCTGGGAATACAGCAGAGAAAAGTCTTCTGTATCTCTCACTAAGCAGGGCTATCAGACTTGTCGAGCTGTAATGTTTTTCATTGAGAAATCACTTTTTTGCCTTTTCCACAGACTGCACTCTATAAAGCAGGATTGTTTCAGTGGTGACTCTCAGGTTTTGTTTACTAACAAAGACTTACTTCATTCTGCTTGCCCGCAGAAGACAGCAGATGATTAGCGCTCACAATCCAGAGAATTTGCTGCCCCAGGCCAGTTTCAGTGAGGACTGAGCCCCTGGGCTGACTATAGTTAATTCAGCAGTTAGGCAGAGGTATCCAAACATACTGTGTTTTCACAGAGTTCATGGAAATGGCTTGGAAGAAGCAAGAAATCTTGTTAGCATCCTCTCTGAGTCAAAGTTTACACTATGTTTCCAACCTCAATTCAGAACCTGAGAATCCCTACATGGACAGGCTAGTTCAGAGCAAACGGGTCTTTTTGTGTTGTGGTGTCTTAAATCTGACACTGAACAACAAGTTTAGGAATGTGTGTTCGATTCTGAATACACACCTTTCAAATCACTTGTATTTTTATTCCAAGATTACCTAACAAAGAAGAATTGTCCACCAGCAATCTGCAAACAACAGCTCAGAAAACAAGTGATGATGACAGATTCTGTGCAAACCACAGCAGCAGATGCCGGGTTCACAGGTAGAAAGCATTGAGAAGAGCTGGAGACTCCCTCTTCTTCATACCAAAGTTATGTGGTCGCAACATTCCCCAAGACAGGCAGCAGTACAGATCAAGATCTGTCACAGCCTTAGGGGGCAAAAATCCCCCAGGTCCCTGCTAGATATCCTAAGCAGAAGTCAGACACCTCTTTACCTCTCCCGCTCTGTGGTGCAATTAGTGCTTTCGGAATGTCATGCAACAGTCCTGTTTATCATAAAGTAACTCCACTCCTTAGATACTGCCAAATCAGTACTTAAACGTGCTCTCCTATACATGCAGACATCACACAGCACTCTACTGCTGCTCCTAAGTGAATTTTTATTTCCTTTTATCAGCAAAGGTTTCTGCCAGTGAAATCAGTCTGCTAGTGGAGACAGAGTAGGAACTGCAGCAGAAGACAGAAGGAAGGCAGTCAAAGCAAAGGTGAGTTGCTTGTCCATGTGTGCTCACGGTCTCTTTCTCTGTTCCTTATCTCCGTAAAGATGTGCAGTCTTGCTTTTGTGCAGTTGCTTGCCAGGGTAGACAACCTGCGTCCTTTCTGGTCTGCAAGCCGGATGCTGTGCACCAAAGTGCATGTTTGCGCAAGCTGAGGAGAGGAAGAAGTCTTTGACCTGCACAAATGGGAAAAAGGAGTAACTGATGGTTTTGTTTTGTTCTACTTGTTGGTGTTTTTTTCTAAGGATGGCACCATGGATGCATAAATATCTCAGTATTGAAGACATGTGCGTGAATTGGACATTTTCCTCTCATAGTTTCAAATGCATTTAAGCTTCCCTTACATGTTAACCAAGAGATTCTGACATCTGCTAACCATGGTAACCACCCTGGTGCTTCTCTGTCCCATTTACAGTGTATGCAAAAAAAATATTATGACCCTCTCAAGAGTACACTGATGAATTTCTAGAAGGTTTAAAGCTTATTTTCATCAAATATCAAAAGTCTCCAGAAATGGCCTTTTGAATGCATCTTTCAGGTCTCTTCCTCTACTTTTTTTTTTTTTTATTATTATTATGGTTAATTCCAGTTTGCCATGGTAAATGCCACTCTTCGGTACTGCTTCATTACATAAAAAGTGTAGACTGCTGTTCAAGGCTCCTACAGTCAAGACTTTGCCACTGAAATTAATGAGACAGGGCATGCCAAGCCTCGGAGTTAATTGGTGCACTCTATCAGATTTACAAAGCATTCATCTGGAAGTACCTTAAAACATGCCAGCTAAACCAGGTGACAATATAGTATATACAAAAATGTATACCCTAAAAAGGGCAACAATTTAGCTACCCTATTGCCTCACTTTTAGTACAAAAAACAAACTGTGACTTAACTGAATAAAACAGCAGAAAGCAGTGGAGTATCTACTATAAAACTGTGCTTCCAGAGCACGTGGGTGGGAGGATTTCTGTTCTGTTGAAAGAAGATTGGAAGTATTCTCCTACAAAGTGGATGGACTAGAGTGAGTTTGGACACCAATATTAAATTAAGGATATATCCCAGTTTTGGTTTAATCCAAATGTTCTAGTGATTGAAGTGGTGTGATAGATCTAATGAAAAATGAAAAGAATTGAGAACTCCCTCCCTGTCATGATTTCAGCTGGGATAGAGTTGAGTTTTGGAGCTGACTTTTGGAGTTACGATGTTTTGTCTTCTCAAGCAACCATTGATGGAGCACTGTTTTCCTGGAGATGGCTGAACACCTGCCCATGGAAAGCAGTGAATGAATTCCTTGTTTTGCTTTGCTAACGTGCGGCTTTTGCTTTACTTATTAAACTGTCTTTATCTCAACCCACGAATTTTCTCACTTTTACTCTTCTGATTCTCTCCCCCATCCCCCCGGAGGGGAGTGAGCAATTGGCTGTGCAGTGCTTAGTTGCTGGCTGAGGTAAGACCATGATACTCCCTCATGCAGAAGTTCAGAGAAAATAAATCTCTTGACTATCCTTTCCAGGCTCTCCAAATCTTACAAATCTTCCCCATGGTATATCAGATAATAGACCCTGTTTTTATGGCCTGTTTCCTCTAGGCTGGATACAAAGGTGACTACAGTGCAGGGTATTAACTAGACAGACTGCACTCTACAATTTCTCTTCAGAAAAACTTCCCTCTGACCATCAGTCAAACCCAAAAACCCATGAAAAGGCCATTTTTCCTGCAGGTATCCAAGGCACAAATTTACAATAGGGAGGACCATATATGAGAGAGAAAGGAAGGAACTCAGGGCACAAACTAGCACCGATACAATAAAAGCACATTCCCCAAGGTTGGTTCCACATCCTCCTGGAGCCTTTGACTCAATATTTAAAACGGGTGAGCTGTGGACAGTCCCTCCTCACACAGGTACTTATTCTGGCAGCCCCCTGGGGAACAGACCTTGAGCAATCTTCAGCAGACTCCCCACTTGGGTCTTCCTGTGGAACTCCATGCCACTCTCTTCCTAACACAAACACCCCTGCATGTGCTCTTTCACACAGCCCCAAGATGTGGTGCCTCCTCGTGCTGCTCTGCGCCCAAGGAATTGCCTTTTCAGCAGGATTCACAACACCCTCCACTCTGAATTCAGACAAAAGCCAGTACGGGAAGACTCACAACCCCGAATGCTTTATGAATGTGGTAAGTTGGGTCATTTTCTATCCTTTTCTTTCTAATTTGTCTCTCCCAGTGCCGCTATCATCACCCCATCACTAACAGTCCCTATCAAAAGGCTAAAAGTAGGGCCTCTTCAAATGGGTCACTCCAGCATTGTGATAGGGAACATGCCTAGAAGAAATCTTGATAGTCCTATCCAATAAGTCTGAGCTGTCAGAGAAGAATTCATCTGCAGTGGAGGCCAAGGCAGGTTTCTAGTCTCAGGGTGTCCTTGAGTCTCCTCTCTCTTTGAAGAGGGGTAGAGGGGAGCACCTTTCTGTCCCATCTGGGGTTCCCCAGGTCCCCAGTAGCCGATTTGGCCTAAACCATGACACAAGGGAAGAAAAGTCCTCCCCTTCTGTAACAACCTGTTTGCTCAGTACAGCGGCAAAGGAGGTTGTACCCCTTCTTCCAACAGCAGATTCTCACAACACAAAGTAATCCAAGACCCCTTGCTCTGAATCACCAAAGATTTCCTCACGATACTGGCAAGAGTGTAAAAGGTGCTGTTGTGAATGAATCTGTAATAGGAGATCCACCCTACCTGGATTGCCTAACCACACTTTTGCAAGAAATGATTCATTATGGACCAAAACACTTATCTTTTGACACTGTCTTATGCAGACACTGCTGCATCGTTACTCTCTAGAAAGGTACAATCTGTATCAGCCTTGCAAAGCAGGAGAAATTATCTCCCAATTGAGTCACTCAATACAGTTCTGCTTTGTCCCATAATGCGGGGTCAGACACCAGGCACCTACTACCTAAGCAGCTCTGAAGAAGGCTTTTGATGCATCTTTTTACAAGACATGCATTATTTATTCTGAGTCACAGTCCCTGTGACCAGAGGCCTTTCACTGCCACCACAGGGCAGCCCACATCCACACTGCTCAGCGTTGTTACCCTCCAAGACAGGACAACTTGTGTATTAACAAACTCTCCTTTGGCTTCCCTCAGAGTGAAATTATCAGGTACCATGGATACCCCAGTGAGGAATATGAAGTTACCACAGAGGATGGCTGTTTTCAGAATTCCTGCTGGGAGGAACAGCCGAAATACAGGTATGACACAGTTGTAGAACATACGGAAAGTCTAAGAATCAATTCTTACATGGGTGCCCTATCTTTGCCCTTTGTACATGCAACGTCATGTTCCACACCTTTCCATCTCAGCAAGAGCACCTAGTCAGGAATGTGGCCGGAATTCTTTATATAGATTAAAAAACTCCTGTAAAACCAAACTCTGCACCCCAGTTTAAACTACACATTACTTACTATTACAGCATACGAAACCCCTCTTCTTTTCCAGGAAAAAAGCCTGCAGTCTTGCTACACCATGGTACTTTAGGAGATTCTATTCAATGGATTTCTAACCTGCCCAACAACAGCCTAGGCTTCATCCTTGCAGATGCTGGCTATGACGTCTGGCTGGGAAACAGCCGAGGAGACACCTGGTCTTTAAAACACAAGACCCTTAAGCCCTGTCAGAAAGATTTCTGGCAGTTCAGGTACTCTGTGGAGAAAGAATTACTGAAGAGAGCAACTTTCAGGGGACTAGCAAGATTGGGCAGTTAATAATGGGATGCAGAAACTTTCTCCTTCTGGTTATATGAAAAAATCCCCTTCTGGATTGTGTGAAAATCCTACTGGTTTTCATATAATCTGACTTCAAGAGGGACATGCAACATCTAAGGAGACTAAACCAACTTTTTTCCCCAGATGCAGTCACTTCTGGGTATGTCAGGGGGGTGATAAGAAGGGCTTGGTTACGCGATCTGGACAGGTCCTTCTGGAATCAGCACATACAGAAGCAAAGCTGGAAGTACACAGGTCACCTTTGTCAATACACGGTGCTGGTTTCTTTGGGGAAAAGACTTCCAAAACTGGGAGTAAACTTGAGGTCTCCCACCTTATACCATGTCCCAAGTGCAGGCAGGAGGGGACACTGCTCAGCTCAGTCTAGAAATCTGATCTATCAACACTGATGTTAACTGAGAGAGAAATATCTTTTGTAACCCATGCTGGTGAGATCAATGATTAAATATACCTCTGCAAGAGCCTCAGCTGATGGACAAAACCTCCTTTTGGGCAGAGGGCCCAAGGCATGAGGCAGCCCGGCAGTACGGCCTCATCTTTCTACCCCCTTCCCCAACTCAAGCAGGAGTGCAGACAAAGCGTGCAACCTCACCTTTCAGTGGGTCAGGAGCAAAACTGACATTCACTAACTCACACAGTGACAGCCAAATCGTCTGCTTGCTTTTTGTGTTTCTCCCCTGTAGCTTCGATGAGATAGGTAAATACGATATTCCAGCAGAGCTGTACTTCATCATGAATAAAACTGGACAGAAAGATGTATACTATGTTGGTCACTCTGAAGCTTCAACTGCAGGTAATATTAGGGCTGCCTGGGAACAAAACAGTAATGTTTGCGTTTATGATTTATATATAAGATCCACAAGTAGATATTGGTGTTTATGCCATGGTGTGCCATTGCCCTTTTACAAAAATAAATTTAGAAACAGAGGAGAAAATGGGTGGAAGTGGTATGTGGCCACATTCTTAGCAATTATTACCCTTTTTTCTCATATGTGCATGCTAAGGGTCTTTTGCAGAACAAAACATTCAGGCCAAGACATCACCTCCATTGTCTTTAGATACCTATGTTCTAGGTAACCAGTTAAAGTTATCACCAAATCCATCAGTGGAGAAATTTAGACATGTTCAGAAAACAGGATGGGATGCACCCTTTATTGGTTTTCCTTCCTTCCTTCCTGCCTTCCTTCTTTCCTTCCTTCTTTCCTTCCTTGGTCATTCTCTTCCTTTATGTGTGCGTCCACTCTCAGCTGAGATTGCACTTAGTTACAAGTAAAAATTCTGCTCTTAATCTTCAGATAATTATGGTATTACTGCATGACAGCATAAACATACACAATCTTTTAGAGACTGCAAGCTGAAAAACTCATTATTTTATTAGAGTTTGGGGAACTTTAAAGGGAATTTGAAATAAGAAAATCTGGTTAATGCATCTTCTCCCCCAAAAATGGCCTTAACACCAAATTGTTAGTTCTGAGCAAATGAGTATCTGGACATGCTCTAATGAACATGTATCCTTAGAATGAACTCTGTCTCCCAAATAAAAGTTTCAAGAATCAGACACTTTCCTTGGGTCTGCAGCACAGAAATGGACAACAGCCAATGGGCTGCTAATCTCGTCTCATTTCCTTGCTGCCTACTGGTTTTTTGTTTATTTGGTCTGTGGAGATCTCTTCATTAACTTGAGTTGTGTCTTCTGTGTTTACAGGCTTCATAGCATTTTCTACTTATCCCGAGTTGGCTCAAAGGGTTAAAGTGTTCTTTGCTTTGGGACCAGTAGCCACAATCTCACATGCTACCAGCCCTCTGGTAATCTTTGCACGTCTTCCCTCATCACTGATCAGGGTATGTCATTCCTCTTTCTAAATGACATAATTGTCTGCTTTGCCTCTACTGGACTCACTCAAGCTGAACTGATTTTAAGGGGGTGATGAGTTAAGAATTAATTCAGCAGATCAGACTGCTGACAGTGCTGGTAGGCTTCAGACTTTCCACAGAGCTAAGCTGCAAGGCTTGATGCTGCGTCTCTTTTGCAACTTCTTTAAGGTAACAGCCATACTTTCACCATTATTTGTTTAAATCAAACATTTTTGAAGGAAGTTTACAAATACCAGAATAAAAGGAATCTAACATAGTCTACTAAATCTAGCCTTAAGCACTAGTAGAAAATTACAAATAAGATATTTCACATCTTAATTTTATTATTCCTGCAGTTCATTTATGCTTGTGAAATACTTCCTTGTAAAATGATAAAGGAAACTTAAAAGGAAATACCTATTTCACACCATAATTTGCCAATTTAACAGAATTTGCTGGGAATGGTGGAAATCCTGCATGCTATGCTTTATGTTAAACTGCAGGAGCACATCCTTTTTCTGTCCAAGCTCTACCCATTATGTGACTATAGACCATCCAGCTCTACACCCTTCTCACTTGTCTGCTCCCTCCTTACTTAGTAGCAATACTCACAGTGCAGTTTGTGCACCTGCCTGGAAGAAATATTAGGGCAAAAAGGGACTTCCTATACTCTGCAGTCATGAGTGCAGGCAACTGCCCTTTCTCAATGAGGTCAGCGCACTAAAACCAGATGGATAGTGACCTCCAGGACTCACGCCTAATAATAAGCAGCAGGAAGAACATCGGGTGTGCTCTTGGGAAGAGCACACTTTTAAAGGATACAGGGATGGCCAGCAGTTTCAGCAACCTTAGTTAAGAGAAGTGGGAGTGACAGTTTGCTTCATAAAATAACCCTGAAACAAGGGAAAAAATTTTTTTTTGCATTTTTCCTCCCCTCAGTTACTACTTGGCTACAAAGGAGTTCTTCAGCAGAATGAACTGCTGAAAGGGCCTCTCACGTGGCTGTGCAGATCTCTGGGAAATTTTTGTGTCAGTATCTTCTGCTTCATATCTGGGGACAGAATGCAAAGTCTGAACACGGTAAGCACGTCCAAGAACACCTTAATACAAGTAAAGCTAAAGTAATTTTGAAGGAAAATAATTTTTCTGCCTTGTGTCTACATACAGTTGCAGGGACATAGAGAAATGTGTTGGGGTTTTCAGTAATGCCAACTAGGACCTCAGCTAATATGAGATCTGCCACCTATCATGTTCAAATCACACAAGAAAGAAAGGCTGAATTCAGAACAATCCCATCTTGCAATGACGTTCCTCAATGTCCCCTCTTCTGGGGCGAAGCAAAAGAAAAGTTGGACAGATACCAAAGCTTTTTAAAATGGACGAATGGATGGAGAAAGATCTTTTTTCTTTTGCACAGCTGATGTTTTCCTTCCTAAGCAGGAAGACATCCAGATAATCTGAACATAAGAGATAGTTTCTTGTTGGTCACTACACAGCAAAACATTTCCAACCAAAACTCAAAGCTGTTTCTTTGCACTTCTCTCAATAGCAAGATGTCATTCCTTTACTCTTGGCTGCTACCTTTTTTTCTTGCAGACCTTTCACATGTCAGTTCCCCAGTGGCCTTTGATCTCACATACGCTATTTAACAAGTGTTCCCATAAAAATCTCCCATATGTGTAGCCTCATTATGCTTGAGCAGACAGTCTATTAACAATTCTCCTCTACCAGCTAAGCACAGCACTATTTAAAAGCATCATACAAACTGTAGAATCCAGGGAAAACAAAGGCCATAACACCCCCCCAATGATGTTTTCCATATGACTAAGCACTAATGTGGGAAAGACTCTCCCAATGGGATAAAACATACTCCTTCCTATTGTAAACTACCATATTTGTGAGTCTCACAGAATCACAGAAGGGTAGGGGTTGGAAGGGACCTCTGGAGATCATGTAATCGACCCCCCCTGCCAGAACAGCGTCACCTACAGCAGTTGCACAGGACAGCGTCCAGGTGGGTTTTGAATGCCTCCAGAGTCAGAGACTCCACCACCTCCCTGGGCAGCCTGTGCAGTGTTCGGCCCCCCTCAAAGTAAATATATTCCTCCTCATGTTTCGATGGAACTTCCTATGTTCAAGTTTGTGCCCATTACCTCTTGTCCTATCACTGGGCACGACTGAAAATAGACTGGTCCCATCCCTCTGGCACCCTCCCTTTAGGTATTTATAAGCATTGATAAGATCCCTCCTCAGTCTTCTCTTCTCCAGACTAAAAAGACCCAAGTCCCTCAGCCTTTCCTCATCAGAAAGATGTTCCAGTCCCCTAATCATCTTCATAGCCTTTTGCTGGACCCTCTCCAGCAGCTCCCTGTCCTTCTTGAACTGGGGATCCCAGAACTGGGCACAGTACTCCACTATTCTTCTCAACCTTCTTTTTGATATTTGAAGACCATCCTATTAAAAAGGGTTTTAACACAGCAGCAGTATGTTGCTCAAGTCCTTCACAGCTTTGTTCTCTCACAGCACTGGATCACTGCCTTTATAACACTTCTGCTTTCTCTCCAGAGTCGCATAGATACATACATAGGACATACCCCTGCTGGATCATCTGTACAGAATGTTATTCATTGGCATCAGGTATAGCTGCGTACTGACATATAAACAGACTCTTAATACTGCTTTTTATGCAACCAACAGCCTCCAGGGAAGTCCAGAGGTGGTAGATCTGGGAAACCACCCATCGCATCTTCTCGTGTGCTGCTGTGAGCATCTGCCACAGAGGGAGCACTGTTTCCTGTGGCTCACCAGACCGTTCCCTGAATTGCCCCTTTGGTATCAGGCACTGAGATTTCCCCAGGGCACATCAGGCCTCTCTGCACATTGGGCTCTAATGGCTTCCAGCCTTCATCTTTATTTATGAAGACATTTGGCTTGAGAGCTGCAGAAGTGAACTCGAGCACAGTCTAGGCACTTGGCAGGCAGTAGGAGGATAGTGGAAACTTGAGCAGCCAGGGGATGATCCAAACAAAGAAGGGATCCAGATTAAAGCTTTTCTTCCAGAGGGCTAATTGCAGCCTGCACCATCTCCTAAAACCAGTTAACTGCACAAAATCTTCTTCTGGCATGGGTGGTGAGTGGGGAACTGCCTCTTCCACTCGCATCTTACGCCACTGTCAGATCTAAGCTTGTTCTGCCTGTGCTCCAAATCAGACCAGGGCAAGAGAGCATCGGCTCAGAAACACATCACTGTATGTGCGCAGAACTGCAACCACTTCTGCCAACACTTAAATATATGCATGTTCCTGCACACAGCCCTGACTGAAATTCCCAGGATCCAGACCACCGCACCCAGAGGCAGAGAATAGAGACAACCTAGCAGATTTCTAGCATACCCTCAGTTACTGAAAGATTTTGATAAAAAAAAATGCACACACATTTTCAGTAAGACAAAGTCATCTTTTATTAATTTTTTTCCTTTTAGACAAAGCATATTCAAGAAGACAACAGTTTGTTGTCTTGTAAGAAGTACAGAGCCTCTGGAAGTGTCGCCACTACTGTGAGCAGACCAGACAAAACTGACACACCAAAGTCGAGGTGTGGGAGGAGGTATTCTATGTTACACTAGACTAGTAGTAGCCCTGACACACCTCCACGTCACGAACAGGGACCCCGACTTTAGCTAACTAAGGTAGTCAAGCAAAATTTCAATACCAAAACATACCAAGGGTGGCAGCTGAGGATCAGGAGGGAATGTTAGCAAGGGGAAAGGCGATGAAACCACACACCCTACTGTCCCTTCTCAGTATCCCTGGAAGCCTGTCGACTGCCTGAGCCCTGGCTTCAATCACAGGCAGGAAAATGCCTCCTGCACTCTCTCTGTCTCTTAACACTTTCATTTTATCTGTCCTTGTTACCATATTAATAGATAACACGTTCAGGCCAATTTCAAGCTTATGACTACGGCTCTAAGGAGAACATGAAGAAATACAACCAGGTAAGGCAATACGGTTTCCCTGAGAATTCATCTTTGGCTCCTGGCAAAACTAAGAATAGAAAAATTCAGATTTTAGCACCTGTGAGTGCTAAAGAGGGGGAGAGTGGTCTGCAGGGATGTTTCACCTGAATCGAATACTCATAGGCGTAGAAGTCTATTCACAGACAAGGCACAGACAGCTCCTTGCAGACAGCAAACAGAAGTTGGTTTGGCCTCCCCTACTGATGCAGGGATGTGTCCAATGACATGTCAGCTTTCCTGCCATTCCCAAAAGGCCAGGAGCCACAGCCAGCTCCTAGGACTGGATGAGCATGGAGCTCTTCACTTTCCCCAAAATCCTCAAGGTCTGCCTTTCAGTTAAGGGGGACAAATGCATCTCACACTGCGGTGACGTCTCTAATCAGCTGACAATCATTTCCATTCTAACCAGCACATTTGAGTTGCAGTATCGTGTGCTGTACCAGGGCAGGCTGCTTTTACAAGGCAGAAAGGCTCCAGAGAGATAACCAGTCACTTGTACTCATGCACACTGTCTCAGAAATGTTCTAGTGTAAAATTATAAATGGCCAAAGTATTTCCTCACCACTTCAGTCTCAAGCATAACAACCAAGACCAACGGTTGCACTCCATGTTCCAACAAAACTTAGCTTCCCACCTTAAATATACACATGAAAAAGCTCCACCGTCCTTGCCTGATAAACACAGACACTGCTCTTTCCATATTCCCACCTCCAAAGAGCACGAGTAGGTGTGAACTGCAGGACAACCCATAGCCATGCATTAAGGAAAGACACAGGAATAGGATGGATCGTTCCCTTTCACGGTAGACAGGGAAAGGCATTAGCGCAGTAGACACTACGAGGGTGACCTTCGTCCTTACTGTTTTACTGTAGTGAGTGCAGAAGGCAAAGAGAGATGCTTGCACAGAATCCGTTCTCTAAATACAGCTTCTGATACAACAGCTTTCACTCAGGTCTCCTCCTTTTCTTACAGCCTACTCCTCCTGTGTACCAGATCGAGAAGATAAACATACCAATTGCTGTTTGGAGCGGTGGACATGACAAATTTGCAGATCCAAAAGACATGGCAAAGCTACTTCCTCGGATTACTAATCTCATTTACCATGAGCATTTTCCTGCTTGGGGACATCTTGATTTCATCTGGGGCCTTGATGCAGCTGAAAGAATGTATTGGAAAATCGTTGAACTAATAAGAAAACACCTTTAAAGGTTCACACAAGGAATTCATTCATCCAGTAAAAACCCCAAAGATTTCTATTTAGCAGTAGAATATGTGTATAGGGACTGGTACAGGGGTTTACAAACCATTGTTGATTGGTTTGCAATTTTTTTACATTGCTTTTCATGGTGTTACATTATTTTGGTGTCTCCAGTCTCTCTGAGCAAGTTGAGGTACATGGGGATGACTGCTGAAAATATAAATATATTAGAAGAAATGCTTCAGAGATCACTTGTTTTGGAAAATTTTAGCTTTTATAGGACTGATTTCATTTTCCTTTCCCTGGCAGATCAATACCACATATTTGACCTGAGACAGAGGTGTTATACCATGAAAACCCCAAAAATGGGAGATACTAATTTCTCTGTTGAAGTATTACTGATCTTTATTTAAATTAAATCACCTATCCTCTTGATTGTGTTTCACCTATTTTCTTCTCACACTACCCACAGCAGCAAGCCAGACCCAAAAGACCTTCACTTGCAAAACTACCCTGCCATGTAAGCAGACAGTAGTTGGCTTTCATGTCTCAAAAGCCAAGGAATCCAACATCAGAAAACAGACAACAGAGAGAAATCACTTGATTGTTGGACAGATGCAGGTATTCACCCTCACACTAACTGATGGTTTGTTAACCCTCTTACTATGAAGAGCGTAACTGTCTTTGTGTCCATAACCTGGCAAGTGAGGATTGAGGAGATGCAGACATAGCAGCAGCCTGCACACAAAGGATGACAGCATCCACCTCAAGAAATATTCCTGGCACTCTCAGTGAAGAAGTTTCCAGTTCTTGTAGCTTCTCAGTTCACCATGTTAGTGTGTTCCAATTGCTCACTGTCCTGGTTTGAGTGACACAGGACTAATTTATCTTCTAATACTTCGGAAGACTACAGTTTTAGAAGACTCCAGTGTCTGAATTTGTGAAAATATTTACTTTACAGCCAGCTATGGTGTGTGGGTTTCAAGGTCTCAGTGTTTTCGAGCTTGCCGGGAGTGGGGATGAAGAGGAGCGAGACGCGTGCACTTGACCCAAGCTGGCCAACAGGATTATTTCATATGATCAACGTCACATTCACTATAAATTAGGAAGTTTGCTGCAAAGTGGTCTCTCTCCCTTGATGGCTGCGATCCTGAGAACTCTGTGCCCTGGTGCCGGACCCCCGAGGCCTTCCTTTCCTCCTGAAGCCGTAGCACTCACAGTGTCCGACATTGCTGTCCACTGCGAGGAGTGCACAGCTTCCTACTGATAGAATTGGATGAGTATAATCTTTGCGTATTGTGTATTGGTATTGGGATCGATATTGGTTCTTTAGTACTGTTAATGTTAATTGCCTAATCTTACTCTATTAAATCTGTCTATACTTCAGCTCCCGGGTTTCCTTGTTTTTCACGATTCCCTTTCCCAGATGGGGCAGGGGGGGTCATCGGGTGATAGAATGATTGTCTAAATGACAATAAATTGTTATGGGTCTCTCAAACCATAACATTCACCTACAAGATTATTCCAAGAGGTGAAAGATCACATCAAAGGATTCATCATTACAGGCCAAGACATGGTAGCACAGCCACTGTGGGTGTTTCTGGGTGGTGGCTTAAGCACAGATTCCTCAATCAAGGCTTGTGGCAAACGAAACCCATCTGATGATAATCTGGGAGATAGATATCGATATATAAGCAAAACATGTTTGTCTCATGCAATATACAAAACACAGGCTAAGGAGATGACACACCTTCTGTAGCAGCCTGTGGTACCACTGGGAACTGAGCTCACAACTTCTGGAGAGGTTCTCAATCCAAGACACAGAGATTGCCACTGGCCACTCTCACTTACACCACACTATTTATAAACCCCAGTGTACTGACTACCCCCGAGAACTCAAACCAGACCTAGCCCACCTCCACAACACTGCAGGGCAGACCTGGCACAGGCACATCAAACATTACACCCAATACAAATGCGAGCTCTAGGTCTGCAGGGAGGGGGAGCAGGACCAGGAATTCCAGCTTAGGTAAAGAGGAAGCGAGCACCTCATTGAATTGTGTGTCAGCAAAGCCCTTCACCTCTGCTCTCATTCACACTGCTGCAGCACCACCTGACATTCAGATGAGATGCACACAATGAACCTGGCAGTGTGACGCTGCACAAACCACATGATGGAAGGAGGGAAAACAGAGAATCACACCACCAAACTTCTTCTACCCTCACCAGTGGTGCCTTTTCCCTGCGACAGAATAGGGCTAACCATGAACTAACTCAGATTCCCCATGAACCAGAGCACATAGCTCTGCCCAACTGAAGAAAGCAATGGGCAGACGCTGGGCACTGTCATTTCTGGGAGATGAATGAAGGGGGATCTAGTAGTTCCTCAAAACCTGGTTGTGTGGATCCAGGTCTGAGATTAAGCTCACTCAGCATGGAAGCAGCCACCAAGGGGCACTCCAGGACATCAAGTTCAAACTTTTCTAGAGGGTCTTCCTGTGCTGTACAAGAAGAACCAGCCACAGACACACCTTGCAAGAGGTTACAGGGAAGCATTCAGGTCAGTGACCAACACTGCTTGGAAAAGAGCGCAATGTGCAGTGTCTTCCACACTGAACACCTAAATCAGCCTAGCGTTCAACCTAACATCACCTCTGACCTAACTGAGTTTACAAAGGATTGCCAAATTCTCTAAGGGAAGACAACAAATTCCCAATGCTCATCAGATAGGCTCTCAACTTCCTAGAGTTTCCTGCAAGCCACCATTATCTTCTTCTTGCCATCCCTCAGTAATGTTGTCCTGGAATGGACAGTGTCTGCAAAACAGCAACACCCACCCTGTACACTTCCCCTCCAAAGACTGTTAGCGACTCAGACAACATCCCTGCAGCATTGTAAAGGTCCCATTGCACCTCTGCTTCAGGATGGGATTAACGCAACTGCCCCACTAAGTACAAAGAAGCCCCTCCATGGTGTAGACTAGAGCCTGTGGTTTATAACACTTTCAGCCAAGTTCAGTGAACCACTGGTGTTGCATGAAAAATCCAAGACAACAAGGTAAGCATTCGAACAAACAGGATTTTTGTCGCTTACCCAAATCAGTCCCTCCTGTTCTTAAAGCCAGGACCAAGACCCGTTGCCCCTCACCACAGCCACCAGCACCAAGAATAGTACTTCAAGACTGGGATGCCAAGTGGCCAGAACAGCCACGCACAGGATGAAAGGAAGGGAGGTTATTACCATGCCTGGGGGTGCAGGATGAGCTAAACACAAGTATCTTAGACTACATCTAGATTTCTGTGTCCAGATTTGAGTCCCCAGAAAGACATCAGTGCCATCAATATCTGTTGAGCAATTCAGCAGAAGACCACCAAGAAGGTCATCCAAACTTATCATGGAGTGATGGCTAGATATTCCTAGCAGAGCTCTGGGCCAGCTCACAGCCCTGCACTGCACAGCCTCTTCAGAACCCCACACTGACAGCTTCTTTTCCTACTGCAACCCCCTACCTCCTCTGCCTTGGGGGAGAAGGTTCCCTCCTCTCCAGCCATCCCTTTTTCCCAGGCGGCATAGCCCAGGTACTGCTTTCCCAGGTACCACAGCCCCACAATGACCACCACATCTTCATTGAAACCTTCCTCTCTCACTCACAGACACCTTCCTCAGCAACAGCACTGTGTTTCCCCTCTGTCAGTCGCATCATAGAACCATCTAGGTTGGGAGGGACCTTTAAGATCATCAAGTTCAACCATCAACCTCACACTGCCCATACCACCACTAAACCACGTCCCTCAGCACCACGTCTATCCGTCTTTTCAATACCTCCAGGGATGGTGATTCAACCACTTCCCTGGGCAGCCTGCTCCAATGCTTGACAACCCTTTCGGTAAAGAAATTTTTCCTAATATCCATCCTAACCCCCTCCCAGGCGCGACTAGAGGCCCTTTCCTCTTGCCCTATCGCTTTTTACTGGGGAGAAGAGACCAACCCCCCTCCGATAAGGTCTCCTCTCAACCTCCTTATCTCCGGGCTGACAACCCCAGCTCCCTCAACCCCTCATCCCCGGGTGCGGATTAACCCCGAGGCGAGACAACGCTTTGCCCACCGGTACCCACGCGGGTACGGGATTCTTTAAGATACCGACAGCGTGGGGAAGACGGAGAGGGATGCACTCCAGGTGAGGATGGGCCATGCCTTGGCCATCCACTCGCTCAAGGCACCGCCCGCCCC